GTAGAGGATGGTGTGTCTACAACTATATATATCTAAAATAGTACTATCTTATGTAATCGATCTTGTTCCGAGAAATAAAGTAAAATTAAGCGATACACACTACGAGAAATGGCACAAAAGAGAGTTACCGACAGTGCAATCGACAAATTTTATATACTTTTAGTTTATTCACAATAATACATATGCTAGTGGTATATAAAATATTGTACCCTTCAATTTTTGTTGTCATGCTAGAGTGTAACTACACGCTACCGTATGGATTGTTATAATTTGAGCAAACAAATCTATACTATATAAAAGTTAAAGTTATAAGCTCCTAAAGGCGTCCACATAGAATTTTAATCAACCTATAGTGTTACGACACATCAAACATTCAAATTTAAGAAAATTTCTTAATCATAAAATAGTGATGTTAAATAGAAAATAAATTTATTAGATATGAAAATCTATTACAATTAGTATTTAAAAACATTAAAAGGAAATATATCTATTAAGAATTTATACGTTAGAAAGTAGTGTTGTGTTACATTAAATATTCAAATTAGATTTTTTGTTTTTGTTATAAATTTTATTCTTCCCTCGGCAAATAATATAGTTTTTTTAATATTCTATTTTATTGGTTTGCTCAAGAATCATTGGAATGTATAAACGAAAAATGTTAATTCTTAATGAAACTAAGTTTGTTAATATTCTATTTTGTAATTTATTTTTACTTATAGTATAACTAGGCAAAAATGTCAATTTAAGAAGTATATATATGTGTAACATATTAAAATTTGTAGGTCTCTTCGATTCTTATGCCCTTAAAGAAGAATAGGGAGAAGCAAATTCGGTTCAATGAAGGTAAAATCTTAAAGTTACACCATGTCATTTTTCTGTTTGGATTAAGTTTTGAACACTTACCGTTGAAATAAATTCAAACGATGGAAGAGGAGAAGCTAGAGAAAAAGAATGCAATTGTCATTAATTCATGAAAATTTTGAAGAATCACACTGTTAGAACTTAGAAAGCAATAATGATGGTAACTCCATATTTAAATTCTAGAATATTAAACTTTCTTCAAAATTTGTCATAAGAATATTCTCTACCGAAATATTTATGCAATATTAAAAAAAAATTTGTTCAAACATAATTTATTGCACTCAAATCATGAGTATGTGATGTCTTTAATATTGCATAGTATCTAGAATCATATTGTACTTTTAATTGTTTTAAGAATTTTAGATAAAAAAACACTCAACTACCGAGAGTAATCAGTAATCACCATGTTACAAGTTTTACATTAAGAGTACTAGAACAATTTAGTCATTGGAATATCGGAAAAGTATTTACATACTTAAGTGAAAGAAAGTAAATATCGATCATGGCAAAACCTATACAAATTAGAGAGAAATATTATGTTTTAGGCTAAAAATAAAAATAAAATCATGAAATGTTTGTTTTTTAGTTATTTTGAATATCTTGGAGAGAGATGTCAAATATGTGTATGCAAATAAAAAAAATTATATTTTCATATCGATATTTACGAATGTTATGGTGACTAAAAGTTCACCTTCAGACATTAACTATACCACAACTGGATGCACTTAATCATGGTTGGAAGAAGCATAAGATTGTTGAGAGTATGGCCCTTAACATGACATTTGTGTGAATACAATTTAAGAATCAAAGCAAAAGAGGATATAAATGAAGYTAAGAGACCAAAATAACATATAATTTGGTAGGGAGAGGAAAAAGTGGGTGCGTGTGTGTGGAGTTTTTGCGACTAAATTGGGATCTTGGTGAGTGATTTCATTGATTTCTTGCGACAATTAGGATATTTTTTTGATAAATACATATCCACAAAGAAAAATGAATATCTCTTCTCCAAGAAAATGGAAAGCATATGTTAACTTGAACGAACATTCTAATACCGCAACAATAATTTCAAATGATCGATGTAACGTAAGACAGGTTGATTGGGTGATTGTGGTTAAGAGATAGCTAAGAAAATTTTATTTAAGTTGGGATTGCTCATGAAACCTAAGTTCTTGAGGTTGCTGAAACAAAAGAAGGAGTATTTCAAGGTCTTAGGGTCCCTTATCATTGTGAGATCGATAATGTACTTCAAAACAATGGTGCACTAAAAAAAGAATACACGTAAGTTCTACTCTGTTTTAAAAAATCAAAAATACATATCTAATGTATTCATACATGCTAATTTTATAAATGATAAATATACTGTATAGTTAGTTCTTAGTTATATTTGCGGAACAATTTAATAAATTCCATCATCATCATTCTAATATTTTGGGACTTAGAAGAGGATTGACTAATTGTTATTGGAAGAAGAAAAAAACTGTAAAAATACATTGATAAACTTTCATTCGTTATTTTATTGAATAATCAGACAAATACATAAAATGAAAAATTATTACGTGTTATTTTCAGTAAGCAAAAAAATATTTTT